ATCAAAAAATGGGCAGAAGACCTAAATAGACATTTCTCCAAAGAAGACATACAGATGGCCAACTGGCACATGAAAAGATGCTCAACACTGCTAATTTTTAGAAAAATGCAAATCAAATCTACAGTGAGATATCACCTCACACCAGTCAAAACGGTCATCATCAAAAAGTCTGCAAACAATAAATGCTGGACAGGTTGTGGAGAAAATGGAACCCTCTTACACTGTTGGTGGGAATGTAAATTGGTGCAGCTACTATGGAGAACAATATAGAAATTCCTTAATAAACAAACTAGAGTTACCATATGATCCAGCAATCCCACTCCTGGGCATATATCTGGAAAATACAAAAACTCTAATTCAAAAAGGTGCATGCATCCCACTGTTCATAACAGCACTATTATAATAGCCAAGACATGGAAGCAACCTAAATGTCCATCGACAGATGAATGGATAAAGAAGATGTAGTATATATTGGGTTGGCCAAAAAGTTTGTTCAGGTTTTTCTGTAAGATGTTATGGGAAAACCCAAACGAACTTTCTGGCCAACGCAATTTACACACACACACACATATATACATACACACATACATACATAGATATATACACACAGTGGAATATTACTTAACCATAAAAAGAATGAAATAATGCCATTTGCAGCAATATGCTTGGACCTAGAGATTATCATACTAAATGAAGTAAGTCAGACAAAGAAAGATAAGTATTATATCACTTATATGTGGAATCTAAAATAATAATACAAATGAACTTACTTACAAAACAGAAATAGACTCACAGACATAGAAAACAAACTTATTTTTACCAAAGAGGAAAGGGGAGGAGGGATAAATTAGGAGTTTGGATTAACAGATACACACTACTATATGTAAAATAGATAAACAACAAGGACCTACTATATCACACAGGGAACTATGTTCAATATCTTGTAATAACCTATAATGGAAAAGAATCTGAAAAAGAATATATTATATATATGTATTTATGAATATGTATAACTGAATCACTTTGCTGTACACTTGAAACTTACACAACATTGTAAATCAACTATACTTCAATTTTTTAAAAAATCATATGATCATCTCAATAGATGCAGAAAAAGCTTTTGACAAAATTCAGCATCCATTTATGATAAAAACTCTTTAACAGAGTGGGTATAAAGGGAACATACCTCAACATAATAAAGGCCATATATAAGAAGCCTACAGCTAACATCATACTCAGGGGTGAAGAGCTGAAAGTATTTCCTCTAAGATAAGGAACATGACAAGGATTTCCACTCTCACCACTTTTATTCAACATAGTATTGAAAGTCCTAGCCACAGCAACCAGAGACGAGAAAGAAATTAAAGGAATCAAAATTGGAAAGATAGATAAAACTGTCACTATTTGCAGATGATGTGATAGTATACATAGAAAATTCTAATGACACCACCAAAAAACTACTAGAACTCATCCATGAATTTGGTAAAGTTGCAGTATACAAACTTAATATACAGAAATATGTTGCATTTCTACACACTGATAATGAAAGGCAAGTTAGGAAGACCTAGGAATAAATTTTTAAAAGAATGTGAAAGACACTAAAAACTATAAGGCATCGATGAAAGAAATTGAAGACACAAATAAATGGAAAGATATTCCATGCTCTTGTGTTGGAAGAATTAACATTGTTAAGATGTCCATACCACCCAAAGCAGTCTACAGATGCAGTGCAATCCCTGTCAAAATCCCAATGGCATTTTTCACAGAAATAGAATAAACAATTCTAAACTTTGTATGAATCCACAGAAGATCCCAAATAGCCAAAGCAATCTTGAGAAAGAGCAAAACTGGAGGCATCATGCTTCCTGATTTCAAACTATATTACAAAGCCATAGTAATCAAAACAGTATGGTATTGGCATAAAAACAGACACATACGTCAATGGAACAGAATAGAGAGCCCAGACATAAACCCACATATATATGGTCAATTAACTTATGACAAAAGAGCCAATAATATGCAATGGGGGAAAGATGGTCTCTTCAATAAATGGTGTTATGAAAACTGGGCCACTGTCTTTAACAGTATACACAAACGTTAACTCAAAATGGATTAAAGACTTAAATGTAAGACCTGAAACCATAAAACTCCTAGAGGAAAACATAGGTGGTAGCTCCTTGACATCGGTCTTGGTAATGAATTTTTGGATTTGACAACAAAAGCAAAAATAAACAAGTGGGATTACTTCAAACTAAAAATCTTCATTCAGGGACTTCCCTGGCAGTCTAGTGGTTAAGACTCTGCATTTCCACTGCAGGGGCACAGGTTCAATCCCTGGTTGGGGAACTAAGATCTTACATGCTATGTGGCTCTGCAAAAAAAAAAAAAAATTAAATTAAGTTTAAAAGTAAAAAGCTTCATTCAGCACAGCAAAGGAAATCATCAACAAAACGAAAAGACAATCTACAAAGTGGGAGAAATATTTGTAAAACATATATCTAATAAGGGGTTATTATATTTTAAAATATATAAAGAACTCATATAATTCAATAACAAAAAAAAAATTTGATTTTAAAATGGGCAGGGGATCTGAGTAGACTGAATATGAGTTTTTCCAAAGAAGATATACAGTTTGCCAACAGGGACATGAAAAGGTTCTCAACATCACTAGTCATGAGGGAAATGCAAATCAAAACCACTATCACCTCATAACCTGTTAGAATGGCTCTTATCAAAAAGACAGGAAATAACAAGTGTTGGCTAAGATGTGGAGAAAGGTAATGTAAATTAATGCAGCCACTCTGGAAAACAATATGGATGTTCCTCAGAAAATTAAAAATAGAACTACCGTATGATCCAGCAATTTCAATTTTGAATGTTTATTCAAAGGAAATGAAAACACTAATTCAGAACCATACCTGTACCCCCATGCTCAATGCAGCATTATTTTTAATAGCCAAGTCATGGAAATAACCTGTATACCTACAGATGTATGGATAAAGAAAATACACACACACACACACACTCTGGAATAATATTCATCCATAAAAAAGGAAATCTTGCCATTTGTGACAAAATGGATAAACCTTAAGGGTATTATACTAAGTGAAATAAGTCAGACAAAGATAAATATCATTTGATCTCACTTATATGTAGAATCTAAAAAATTAAAAAGAAAAAACCATACTCACAGACACAGAGAACAGATTGGTGGTTGCCAGAGGGTGGGAGTGGGTGCAATTGGTAAAGGTACAAACTTCTAGTTACAAAATAAATAAGACCTGGGGATGCAATGCACAGTGTGGTTAATAATACTGATTGTATATTGTTATATTGCTAAGAGAGTAGATCATAAAAGTTCTCATCTCAAGAAGTGATGGATGTGGGCTTCCCTGGTGGCGCAGTGCTTGAGAGTCCGCCTGCCGATGCAGGAGACGCGGGTTCGTGCCCTGTTTCGGGAAGATCCCACATGCCGCGGAGCGGCTGGGCCCGTGAGCCATGGCCGCTGAGCCTGCGCGTCCGGAGCCTGTGCTCCGCAAATGGGAGAGGCCACAACAGTGAGAGGCCCGCATAACGCAAGAAAAAAAAAAAAAAAAAAAAAAAAAAAAAGAAAGAAGTGATGGATGTTAATTAGACTTATTGTGATTATTTCACAATATATCCAAATATTGAATCATGTTGTACACCTGAAACTAATATGTCAATTATATTTCAATTTAGAAAGGGAGGTAAAGGAAGGTATGATGACAATTTCACATCAAATAGAGAAAGAATATCAATAGAGATAGAAATTATAAAAAATAACTAAATGAAAAATATACTAGAGGGCTAGACCATAAATAGCATAACTTAACCCAATTTAAAAATAACAAAGGATTGTATAGACATTTCTTCAAAGGAAATATACAAATGGAACAATAAGCACATGAAAAGATGCTCAACATCATTCATCATCAGCAAAATCAAATCAAAACCACAATGACATCACTTCATAGTAGGATGCCTAAAATCAAAAATTTAGATAATAAGCATTTTTGAGGATATGGAGAAATTGGAACTCTGATACAGTGCTGGCAGGAATGTAAAATGGTACTACCACTTCGGAAAACATTCTGGCATTTTCTCAACGAGACACAGAGTTACCATATGATCCAGTAATTCCACTCCTATATACCCAAGATAAATGAAAACATAATCCACATGAAAATTCAAATATAGCAGCATTATTCATAATTGCTGAAAGATGGACACACCCAACTGTCCATCAACTGATGAATGAATAAACAAATAGTGGTATATTCATTCAATGGAATATTATTTGGCCATAAAAAGGAGTGAATTACTTGATACATGCTACAACATGAATCAGCCTTGAAAACATGCTGAATTAAAGCCAGTCACAAAAAACCACATGATTACATTCATGTACAATTTCCAAGATGAGGCAAATCAATACATTAGATTAGAAAATACATTAGTGGTTGCTAATGACTGGGGAAATTAAGGGATAGGAGGATAATAGCTAAAGAGTACAAGGTTTCTTTTTGAGGTCATGAAAATATTCTACAATTGTGGAGACAGTTGTACGTATCTGAACATACTAAAAAGTCATTGAATTATACATTTCACATCAGTAAATTATATGGAATGTGAATTATATCTCAATAAAGCTGCTTTTGAAAAGAGCCTATTGGATGATTGTTCACTGACTAGTATTTATGACATGCATTGCTGAGGCCAGATGAGATGAGGGAATAGAGAGGAAAGTAAAGAGAAGTGAGTGCAGTGGCTACCAGGAAATTTTTTTTCTCTTGTACTTATTTGGAGTGCAATCAGACGGATTTGATTCTGAAGACAAGCAACTCGTGTACATTTTGATACACTACTTTCTGTTTAAGTTTGCCTAACTACAATGGAATTTTTCTCTAATTTTATAAATAAAGGCCTGAATATAATCTCTTTTCTTTTGCTTTCCCTCCCACCTCGTTTATTCTTTACAGGGAGTTTACACTGGGAGAGTACTTACCCTTCAAGAATTATTGATCCAAGTTGGGAAGTTAAATGCTGAAGCTGTTAGAGGTCAGTGGGCCAATCTTTCATGGGAATTGCTTTATGCCACCAATGATGATGAGGAACGTTATAGTATACAAGCTCATCCACTACTTTTAAGAAACCTTACAGTACAAGCGGCTGATCCTCCCCTGGGATATCCAATTTATTCTTCAAAACCTCTCCATATACATTTGTTTTAGAACCCATTTTAACTTGTATTGTGAGCAAATGAGATGTCTAGAAAATTAACAATATGATTCCTCATAACTTCACTGGACTTCTCTCTCTCCTCCCACAAGTCAGATGCCGAAGAAAAGCTAAGCTCTATAAAGTTGATTCTCTTAGGTATCTTAATGGTTTAAAACAACTTTATGTCTAACATAAAAGTTAAAATTAGTTGGCCAATATTTGTGCCCTGTTGAGTGTGGTAGGCTTTGGTAAATATAAAACATTTGTGTAAGATAATATAATGAATTTTTTAATACTTTCTTAAATGTATGATAAGTGACTTGCCTTAGAGAAGTCAACAACTATGTAATTTTTACATGCTTAAAAGATAACACATATCAGTGTTCTTAAGTCAAGATAATGGATCCTACTGAAGGTTACATAATGTATATATATTTATTTGAAATATTAAATTTTATAGTATTTTCAAACTTTGTGCTATTTTATTTTAATATTTAACACGGTCTGTTTCCATATAATCTATTCATTTTCTTTTCATATACTTCAATTCAGTAACCTTAAAAATTTTCAATAAAATCTCTTCCAAAAAAATCTTTCTTTTTTTTTCCAAGTATCCTTTTGATATGTTTGAAAGGAAAAGGTCATCCTGTTCATCATGTGAATACTCACAGGATTAGCAACATTAAGGTAATCTGATTATGACTGTTAGAGGCCATTCTGTAGATCTGGCTCCTTATGCATTTCTTTTCAACTGAATATACTGCTTCTGAAGAACGACTTATCCGGTAGGACTACCAGTTACTAGTGTCTTAAGGTGTTTGAACTAAAGGCAGAAAGAGATGGGAGAAAATTTTTCATAATGTGATCAGGCTTTTATTTTCACTCTTTTGCTGCTTAGAACTTTTTACAGGTACTTATAAGGAGGATGAACAATGAATCTGCATCATTTGGGACATGAATTTCCTTTACACCTTATTTATTTCCATCTATAGTACCCGTTATTTAATCTGTAGTAGCCTCCTGAGTAGGTAGTACAGTAATACATTCTCTTTAGTAATGATTGAGATTATTTGAAATGTACCAATTAGATTTTTATTACTATTACTCCTTTATTAAGTGGAACAGTTCAATACAGCAGTGTTAAAGGATAGCTTTTTGGACTAATTTCAATTAATGAATTCACGAGATTCATGTGTTAAGTCATTTTGGGGGAAGCAATATAGTATAGTTAATAAGATAGGGTTTGGTGTTACATCTGAGTTCAGATCTCAGGCTTATTATTTATGTAACAGATTTATTAGCTGGAAAATTATATATATATACCTTTTTTGTCACCTAGGGAAATTTTCTCATATCATTAAAAACACTAGTTATCAGTTTTAATGACTGTATAACATGGATAGATATGACAGATTATTAGACTGTCCCCCAAATAATGGGCATCTTAAGTTGTTTAAAGATTTTCAGTATTATAATAGTGCCAAACCATGCTTTCCCTTTACCATGAATTTTTCTCAAACTACCGCCATGTCCCTCCATTTCTTTTCATGGCCAAGTTTCCCCATCCTCATTCACTTGTCAAAACATTCCAGTCTGGATTCCATCTCTACTATCCCCCCAAATAAAGAAAGTTTTTATTTTATTAAAGTCATTGTTTACCTTCATACTGTCAAACCAACTACAGCTGGCCCTTGAACAACGTGGGTTTGAACTGTGCAGGTCCACTTGTACATGGATTTTTTCAGTAGTAAATACTAAGATACAAAGTCGATTGAATCCACAGATAAGGAGGAACCATGGATACAGAGGGCCCACTCTAAATTATATGCAGATTAAAACCCCAGCACTATTTGAAGGTCAACTATAGTTACTTTTATATTCTCGTCTTATTTGTCCTCTAAGTAGCATTTGACACATTTGACAACAACTTGAATTTTTTTCTTTTGGGCTTCCCTGACACTACATTATCTTCATTTTCTTCCTGTCTCCCTGACTACTCCTTCTCAATCAACTTTGCTGCATTTCCTTTTCTACCTGACATCTAAATTTTGGAATTTCTTAACAACTGGTTCAGGCCCCCTCTTCTTACTCTACATTTCACCACAGACAATTCTCATTCACTCCTAAGACCTAAAATATCATCAATAAGTAGATGATGTTCAAATACATGTACTCAACCTCTCTTCTTAGCACTGAACCTGTATATGTAACTATTTATCTCCATCTCATATATTCAAAATATCTGACCTGATTGAACTTGCCCTAATACCAGCTTTTCTGACTTCTACCTTAGTACTGCCTAGGTAATTCACATGAGACATCTCACAGAGAATTAGGAAAGCTGGGCAAAATAATATTTGTAAGTCTGTTTAAAGGTATCAGAAAACCAAGAAGACAGTGAAGAATTATATCACCAACCAAGATCCAAGGCAAAATGAAACTTAAGAGACCTGAGCTCAGCATTTGAGCTGCTTTTCTTCTAGGAATATTTGCCAATTAAGGAAGAGGTGGCTGAGAAGATAACACTTTTGGCAGACTTGCTACTAAGTTAGAGGGTTAAAAAATGGAGTCCAGGGCTCTCCAAAGAAAGAGGGTGAACAAAAAAAATAGATGCATTTTCAATCTTTTCAATCCCTAAAATCCTTTTCAATCCCTGGATTTGTAGTGTACCTAGCTACTACCCAGAGCAAATGTACATCTTCTCTGGACCTTTTAAGTTATTTTTATAATTTTTCATATTTATGTTGGACAATCTAAAATAAAGCACCTGAGGAGATAAGACAACATGAGCCAAATCCAAGAGAAACAACAGACAATAGGAACAAACCTACAGGAGTTTATAACTGGAGGCTTTTTCCTCTTAATCCCCTTCACCTATTTTGCCCCCTACCCCACAATAATCACCCGTGTTTTCTCTGTGTTTTTTTTTTTTTTTTTTTTTTTTTTTTTTGCAGTACACGGGCCTCTCACTGTTGTGGCCTCTCCCGTTGTGGAGCAACAGGCTCCGGACACACAGGCTCAGCAGCCATGGCTCACGGGCCCAGCCGCTCCGCAGCATGTGGGATCTTCCCAGACCGGGTCACAAACCTGTGTCCCCTGCATCAGCAGGCAGACTCTCAACCACTGTGCCACCAGGGAAGACCTTGTTTTCTTTTTTTTAAAGTACACAAATTAGTGAAATCATGTGGTATTTTTCTTTGACATATTTCACTTAGCATAATACCCTCTAGATCCATCCATGTTGTATCAAGTGGCAAGATTTCTTTTTTTAATGGCTGAGTAATATTACACTGTATATAAATACACATCTTTATTCATCAATGGACACTTAGGTTGCTGCTGAAATTCTCAATCTTGTGTTTTATATCTTTAAATATACCAAAGATAATTTTCAAGCCTGTGTTTAATAATTCCATTATCTGGGATCCCCTGTGGACAAAATGAGCACTATCTTCTGTGCACATAAATTTAAGTATATGTAAACAGAATTGTTATAGTCATCATTTACTTTCTTCACTCATCACTGTGCTTCTAGGATATATCCATCTTGCCATGTATGCATTTATTCCATTGCTTTTACTTGCTGTACCTCATGGTATCATCCACCATTTACACCTTCCCCATTTCCCAAAGATAGCCACCAGGGTGGTCTCCAACTTCTCCACCAACTATTTCAGTTATTTTATGGGCGATACCTTGTCTGTAGGTAAACTGTGAACTGTTTATACATAAGAACCATGTTGTTCTTCCCCTGTTCTTCTCCCTTCTATTATGGCCTATGCATGTTTTCTACTGTAAGGTGCTAAAGATTAAAGTAAAATTAATGATAATAACTAAAATAAGTTGCCAATGGAATCTTCCTGAGCTAAGTTTAACCCAGGCTTTACCCGTTACGAGCTCTGTGACCGAAGGAAAGTAACACCTACTTTGGGCATTTCTTTCTTCATCTATTAAGGTGGATAATACCACCTACCTTAGAGGGCTGTTATGAGAAATAAGTGAATTAACTAATTACAATGCACCTCAGTACAGCAAATGACAAAATAGATTTTTAATAAATTATGGCTGCTATGAGTCCTACCTACAGCTTCAAATTCCAGTCATTTGTACCTGTCAACTCTTCCAAGAGAGTGTAAGCACCTTGGAGGCATGCCATTTCAGACACTTCTTTATATCTGCCCATTCCCCAGCACTCTGCTACATGTAATATTCCATGCATTTAGGCTAAATGGATTTCTGTAATTCTTTGGTTGGCATTCTGCTAACCTAGATTTTAAGCATATATGCTAGAGTATGTTAAAATGCTCTTTAATCCAGGAATGTAGTATGTATTAATACCCTTATTGCAAGACTCCTGGCAATCTTATTTATTACACGTTGAAAGGAAAGTTGTATCTATTAAGAAGTAAAATCACAAATAAGTCTTCAGTGCATAAGAAAATTGCTGTTGTTATATTTTCCGTTTCTCTTTCCATTGGCTTGAAATATGCAAGTACTCCTTCACTGATATTTTGTCTTCCAGATTTTAAAATAAGAGGAATCTGCATCCTATAACAGAATGACAGAAACATGAATCAGTCTCTTCTACCCCGGTTTTTGACAATTAATTCCTTCTGTTTTGAGGAGCTATATCATTATGATTCACTGTTGAGAATCCTTATAAAACCTGGGCAAATGCTTAAGTCAGAATAAAAATCATAGCCAAAATTCTAGATCTACACAAAAATATCTCTAATGGGCTTAGCATAGTTATTTCCCTGTCATTTGTTAGCATCTGACTATGCCATTTCATAAATGCTGAAATTTCTATTATTACTCTTCTGGATCAGCATGTCATACCTACACTGACTTGCCTTAATAAATACAAAGAACAGTGTCTTTAGAATTCAAATAATTGACAGACAACTTCAGAATCTTTTGTGGACTTTGAGTACATTGCTTAAAGAGTAAAACAAGGCAACTCAGTCTCTAAGAGGTGACATTTCATTTGGGAAGATATCCATTTACCACTTTCAAGAATTTGCACTAAAGACATAAATTATAACACAAAATTCAATGCAATTCGTTATGCCTAAAATTAATAACGATTCATCAAAACAAAGTTCCAGACATAATGTTCCTAGCTTAAATGACAGAAACAAATTCAAGTATTATCAACAAGTACATTTAGTTTTGGATAATACTGGCATCTCTTAACTTAGATGCTTATAAACAAATTTCAATAAGGAGATGGATATATACAATACAAAATAACAGTGGGGAGGAAAGAAGCAAGGAGGAGAGAATTAAGTAAAAAAAAGAGGAACAACTTTTAAAAGTTTCTAGGGTTTTGTGTAAAGAATATATCTCAGAAATGTTTTTGGGAAATGAAAGGATGCCCAGTTTATCATAAAGTGATAAAGCAGTAAGACCACGTAATAAGCAATATTTTAAAGATGTCAGTAGGAAGAGAGAGGTCATCATTTTTAGCAAATGTGAGATGTAATAAAGTGCCTAGATTTACTGAGTGATGTTTATATCTTACAGTTAGGTATTCTGTAAACAAAAAAAATCCTTCTTATGGACATTCCTGAAAGAACAGCTGCTACAGTGGGACTGAAACTCTAGCCCCAGTCCTTCTTTGCCCTCTGAAACAATTATTTCTATAATGCATTCTCTCTCTGCCATATTATTTAACTCTTTGATCTTTACTATCTGTTTGCTGAATATCCTCCTGCCATCAAAACAAAAGCATTAACAGCTAATACTTAATAATCATAACACTCCACGGTATGTTTTAAGAGCTTTCCACATACTAACTCATTTACTCCCCATAACAATCCTATGACTAGGTGCTATTATCATCAGTAGTCTCCATTTTGTAGATGGGGAGACTGAGAGAGAAGTAACTTGCCTGGGGTCAGGGGACGAGTATGGGGTAGAGCTGGGATTTCAACCTAGGTAGACCGGCACCAGGCTCCATGCTCTTAACCAGGATGCTGTGTCACCTCTTTAGTAAGGTGGCCTTTCCCTCTCAACTCTTATCCATCACTGGGCACAATGCCACTATATCTGCTGTCCTCTAAATTTCAAACTCAGATGTAATATTTGATGAAGCTCTACCTTCGGAACCATCCCACACTACCAAGTCCCAGTGTTGGGACTTAATGTTACCAAAACACTTATAAATGTTTTGGCCCAAAGCAAACTGGTTAGTAGAAAATGAATAGCTCCCTTCATGATTTTTCAAGCTCTAGACATGTTAGTTCATATTGAAAGTTTTATAACCTTTAAGTCTCTTTAAGTATTTTGTTTTCTTTTGTTTTTTGCTTTTTTCACTAATTCATTTTCACCATCCTGCAAAAAGCTGGAACAAATGTCTAACAATTTGTGATTGCTTAAATAGTGGTAGGTTATATAATGATACAAATGGTATGATCCCATTTTATAATTCTCCTTATATACAATCCCTGCTAACATTTCTAAAAGAAGGTAGTAATCACTGAAAGAAATACTTCAACAGTAAAAACCATCCATAGAAATAATGCTTCTTTGTATAATCATATCTATATGATCTATAATTTTTAGCTTAACTCATTACATATCCTGTGCTGTTTATACATTAAACTCTTTTGATGGTCACAATTTTCTCAGAAATAGTTTATAACATTCCTTACTTTTCTGGAAGAATGAGTGCTGAAAGAATGAGCGATCAGCGTATTTTCCTAGACACATCTTAGATGTGCAAAGTGCTTCTGGAACAAAGTCAAAGGAACCAGCACTACATGTAAGAGTGCATCTCTTTTAATATTTTCCTAGACACATCTCAGATGTGCAAAGTGCTTCTGGAACAAAGTCAAAGGAACCAGCACTACATGTAAGAGTGCATCTCTTTTAATAGTGTGGAAGTGCTTTGACGGAGGTAGGCACAGGGCTGAGGTACACCAAGTCCTGGGGAGAAATGGGAGGGGAGGCCAGGTATCAACCCAAGGAGGTGACACTTGTAGGATGTAAACTTGTAAGATGGGTTGGAGTTTGTGGGGACACATGGTAGAGAAAAAGCATTTTGGCCCATACACTAGCCAAACAGTAAGTATAGAAGAAAAAATGGCAATCCTTGATTAGATTTTACCTTGTAGAAAACTTTCTCCAAGACCAGTAGTAATTTATAGTAAACCAACAGATATGCATGGGGGAATGGAAAAATTTTTATACCTTTTCTATTTATATCATGAGGTTGGTGGAAGGTTAGTAAGAAAAGTTTTCAAGCACTAGAAGATGTCATACTTTCCTACAAGACGGATATGTATTCAGAAATGTATAAATCGGTCTTACCACACCATTCTTAAAGTTCTCAATCCTTTTCTTCCCTAATTTGTCGGTTATCCACCAGGCCCAGGTTGGCATATACTGCCACAAATATGCCATTAACAAAAAAGGCTGATCCGCGATCCAAACTTCCTTCAAATCATTGGCCATGCTGATTAACATCAGCTGCACACAACGACTGGCTGCCATCTTGTGGGACTGATCTGCATTGCTGCCTGTAGTCTAAGAAAATTTTGAAAAATTAGTGAGGGATGTGTATTTATCCAAGTTATCTCACAGAACTTTTAGGCTAGAAAGGACCCAGAAGACATCTAGTTGAGTGACTCCTTTAATGTGGCCTCATGCCCCTTAGGAGTCCCCACAGGTACTAATGGGTGCCTATAAGCTATTTGTAATATTTCAAAAAGCCTAATGGAATTCATACACTTAACCAGATAAGATTGTGCAGGCTAACTACAAGATAAAAGTTCTCTGCTTTTAATTAGAATTGTACCATCTTAAAGTACTTAATGATAATTCCATGTCACTTAGTAAAAAATTTTAAATTATTAATACATACATTTAGCAAGTGCAATTCTATAAAATATGGAGTCCATGGGGATGAAATGGAGGAAGAAGATAAAAGCGGTTTCTTGGTATTGAACAAATCTGGTACTGCTACTCTACTTAACCCACTACCATTCTACAAATAAACTGAGGCCCAGAAAGGCAGTAACTTATCTGTGCTCACACAGATCATTTAGTAGTAGCCAGTTCTATATTCCAAGTCCTTTGATTCCTATAATAGAGTGCTTATTCTATTTTACCATAGTGCCTCCACAGAAAATCTGAAAATGTAAACTGTATATGTAAACATTTACATAGAAGCATATATAGATTTATATCTCAGTAGAAATATTAGTGGAGAAGAAGGAAAATTTCATGGCCTTTAGAGGGATTTTTGTATTAGTGAGTGACACTGGATTCTTCATGAGACATTCACTATTCATTTGATAGATCACATGTGTAATCTATGAGCTGAGGGAAGCACAGGCCTGGGTGAGGCTAACCTAAAATTAGTACAACTCAACAAGCTTTTTTCTAAGCTCTTTCACCATAATCCCTTTTTAAAAATCCCAGTAAGATTTAATGTACCAAAATTCAGCCACACAGAACCTTTCAATGTTGCTATAGTTTGTGAATTGATTAAAACTGCGTTTTTAAAATACTGATAGCACACATAATAGTGGATTACTTATTAGCAGTATCTTAGTAATTTCTTTAGCTTTTATTAAAACTGGATGCCAAAGCCCTATCAGCTAACCTTAACCATCTTCCTAATGCTGAGTTAAATTCTGTAAAGAGTTCATAAGCAATTCTAACATGAAAACCCTGAGGCATAGTGGTATGATGCCAGTGTATAACTACTAAAGCATTCAAATAATTCCCCAACTAGAAATTTTTACCTTTGTGACTTCTTCAGTTAGGGCATTCTTCACAATATTTGATTGCACAGGTCCTGGGCAAATGTTAGAAACTACTATACCTGGGTATGTAGCAAGTTCAATTCGGAGGGTATTAAAAAATCCCTAAAAGGCAAAAAAAAAAAAAAAAAAAAAAAAA